GTAAATACTAGAGCATTCATGAAGAAACAAGATAGTTCTAGAAACTAGAGGGCGCCACACCAGTCACGTGACCTAAACAACATGATACGAAATTCTGAACGAATCCTAACTATCAACTACTTTGGTGAATTTTCACTACCTGAAAACAATACATTTGTGTTTTTATATGTTTAAAAATTGTTATTCATGATACAAATGTGATTTTGAATAGGTTGTGTTGCGTCATCGTAGCGTCACTTTGATTAATAAAATTAACAGCTAGCTTCACACAGTTCTAACTAGTAACATGTGTCTATCTTTCATTACCATAATGACCTAATTAAACCTAAATACAAGCTTATTGTGGACACAAACTAAAAGGTTGAATGTTATCAACGATACAGAAACTTGGGTTCTGTCGTTTCTTTCTATATATACACATCACACCCGTTTTTACATCAGTAATTAACTTTGATTGCTTACTACAAATAGTATGCTAAAATCGAATAATGTATTATATTGTTATTTAGGACTAACACTAATTCTAAATTTTACGTAATGTTATTGAGGTTTTCGGAGGGTAAATGTTTATTTCACGTGAGCTAAGAATATAATACTAACTTATATTCTCAATCTGACTGGAATGGATAATCAGTCATTACACAAATATATAAATAAAATGGTTCTTCTCAGTATTATAATTATTTTATTTTATTTACAAGTTAACTTTGTGTTGTTTTTTTTTCCTCTGATATATTATTTAAGAATATTTGTGATCAATATTATTTCGTGATAAAAATTTTGCTATTTTAATTCCGTAAGAGGCCCTTCCAAAGCATCATTAAATTAATTAAACAATACGTTGATGCCTTTAGATCAGTTTTTCTCAACCTTTTTCAATATCATTCACCCCCATAAGTTTCTCACATCAACTCACTCACCTTAGTTCGAAAACAGACAAAAAAGTAAAATTCTATATTATGACTTAAGTATACATCAGACTACAACTAGAATGAATACATCATAAAATAAACAATAAATGAATGTATTTATCAAACTACAACTATCATAGAATAAATAATAATAACTAATGACTTTTTCGTTCTTCAATTTGTTGTATAATTGATTATACTCATTCACTCTGCCATTCACCTCCTCATTCTCATTCACCCTGATTCTTATCTCATTAATCCCTGGGTGAACCATTCACCCAGTTGAGAAGCATTGAACTATTGATATTGATTTTACAACAGAATCTCCTAAAACGAATGCTCGCGGAATCTATCAGAACTACCATTTTAGTGTATCAATATATCAAGGAAAGCAAGTTCATCTGTTACAGCGAATCTTTAATTATTCAGATATTGTATCGGCCCAGCATGACCACGTGGTTAAGGCGCTTGAATCGCGATCTGGGGGTAGCGAGTTCTAATCCCCATCCCACCAAACATGCCCCCCCCTTTCAGCTGTGGGGACGTTATAATGTGATGATCAGTCCCACTATTCGTTGGTAGCCCAAGAATTGGCGGTGGGCGGTGATGACTAGTTGCTTTCCCTCTAGCTTTTCACTGCTAAATTGGGGACGGCGCGAAATTCAAAACAAACCAAATCAGGTATTGTAAAAACAAGTAAATTAATCTTCTACAGTGAATCTTTAATTATCCTAATATTGTAAAAACAAGTAAATTAATCTTCTACAGTGAATCTTTAATTATCCTAATATTGTAAAAACAAGTAAATTAATCTTCTACAGTGAATCTTTAATTATCCTGATATTGTAAAAACAAACAAGTTAATCTTATACGGCGAATCTTTAATTATTCAGATATTGTAGTTTATTAAAGATGAAAAAGTATCATCTTCACTTGTACGTATGTTTAAAATGAATTCTAACCATTGCTTTCCATAATGGCAAAGGAACAACTTTGAACAGATGTTACTAACCTTGGTCCATTTGCAGTTCCACCATTTTTGTGATACTCACTGACAGTGAATAAAACATGAGATTCTTTGGCGGCAAATTCTAATATTTTCTAAAAACAAATTATGTCCAAATCTCATAGTTTCTTTGTTCTAATATAATAGGTCAATTGTTAATTGTCGAGTCTCTTCTAAACTAATATTATTGTACCGAGATACTAAGTCAACACCTGCACAATAGACATTCTTTTTATAATTTTATTTTCATTAGAAAATTCAAAACTATCTTTCTACTGTATATTCATCAGAAGTGTAGTGTTCAAGTAATTTAGCCAACCACCTAGCTAATTCATAACATTCTTCTTATGTTACAAAACCTTATATATATTTTTTTTATTTTAATAATTGTAGTTCAATTTCTCTTGTTTTGGTTGAACCCTTTTATAAGGTCTCAAATTTTGTGTTGCCATTTCAAATATCATCAAATTAAGAATTATAATATATTTTATTTATAATAACTATTCCTTTATCCTTCTATGGTTTCAGTATAACTATTGTGTTTTTAGTTAACTTTCTTATCACTATCAGTTTTATTTTACTAAGTTTATTCAGAATTATAAGAGTTGTATGGATTCCAAAGTTGTTTAAAGTAAATATAGTTAACAGGATAATTCCTCGTGCCGTTGTAAAGTGTTCTATCTCTTCTGTGGGTTATTTTATATTCCTTGGTGAAAATAATGAGAAGTATAGTCCACGTGACAATTAAACACTAGCGTATTTTTGTCATAACGTTTCTACAGACTACGTTCACTTTGACACAATTTGTAAGCCTAAGTTCACAAATAACACTTCAACGTAAATACCTCTCTAATGGTACTACGACTGACGTCTAAATAAACTTCTACAATTTCACGGCTAATAGATCGAGTAATTAAATATACGTGATAACTAACATTGATCTGAATAATTTACCAACTTCTCAAACACTCATAACTAGTGTACCCATCTGCATCTTAGTCGAATTTAATAAATCTTAAACTCGTGTACGACCTCTGGCTAAGATCTAAATTAAAAATCGAAAATATAGCTTACAACAATGCTATGAAATTTTATAAGAAATTAAGTTATGTAAAAATGTTTCCAAATAAAAATAGTTTTCCTAGTAGAATAATAAATAGTATCGTACAAAAGTATTTAAATATGTCTCAAACAAACACTATATATAATACTATCATATACGGGTAAATATATATTAAGTGTAAAAAACAGTTACCTTAGTTATTACATAGAACCTATCTAAAAGCTGACTTAAGAATAGTTTTTAAACCTTAGAATGAATTTTTTTTCAGGTATTAAGACTGAATTTAACACATAAGAACATCTAAAGTGATATATGATTTAAGATGTCCTATTGTAATTCTACGTATACTGGTTCGACCAATAGACGGTTAGAAACACACATAAAGAAATATACAAAATTAGTGACAAATAACAAACAAAATATACGTGATTACATGCTTGGCGAATGTAATATTGTCTTACATCATAATATGTTTTAAAAATTGTCACGAGAGGAATTTACGTATAAATCAATATGAAAAAGAAAACGTTGTTATTTAAAAGATTAGAGCCAGAGCTAAACAAGGTGAGTTCAAGAACAAAATTATTACTAACGGATAATTACAATCATATTTTCCTAAGCGTACGAAGAGCAGTGTCAACTATTATATAAATTCATGTTTCTCGTAATTGACCAAGAATTAACATAAGGTTGAAAGTGACACTATTCAAAACACATCAGTGAAGTTTACGTCATTTAAAAATAAAATTTCAAATTCCAGGAATCGGGGCGAACTCCAAAATAAATAAGGAAGGTCTAAAATTTTGTAAGCAGAAAAAGAAACTTAAGGGGATGATGTTAGTATGTAATCCCATCTGGCTCTGAGGGGTAGCAGGAGTGTGACGGGTACATTCATATAACTGTTACGAAGAAGGTGTGGTGCACGTGGGTAATTTCAGGAGGAGAATTATCAGTCAGTTCAAGAATAGGTGTTGTGTCTCCGAATACAAGAGAAGACTGTTCCAGAGCTGTAAAGTTATATTCATATAATGAGGTAAAAAAGATTATCCCTGTCAAGTGAAGAAGTCACCATCACCAAGAATCGGATATCTAGGGTAGCATTTTTGTTCATTCAGGAGTTTAAATCCGTTCTTGTATTGGAGAGGATTTGAAGAATGTTGAAGTGGATTGCAAACCTCGCTTCTTAGTCGCCTCTTTACTGCTCATATAAACTTATGGACAGTCTGTTGACGACATCTATGATGTAATAAAGAGATTGGTCATGACAGAGACGATAGTCCTGAGGTAGTGACGAGGATAGACTCAAGATATCTACTGCTTGGCGAGGTAAAGATGGTCTACGTGGTGTACAGTGCTAAGATATATACTGTTCGGCGAGGTAAAGATGGTCTACGTGGTGTATAGTGTTAAGATATCTATTGTTTGGCGAGGTAGAGATGGTCTACGTGGTGTACATTGTTAAGATGTTTGCTGCTTGGCGAGGTAAAGATGGCCTACGTGGTGTACAGTGTTAAGATGTCTACTGCTTGGCGAGGTAAGGATTGTGTATTTGGTGTACAGTGTTAAGATATAAGGCAAGCAATAGGTATTAATAATGCTCAAGGACCAACTTTCATGAATTGTGATTTGGCAGAAAGCAAGTAGTTAAACAACTTCTTCAACATAATACTTTTATCTTTAAACAATGATATTGGGTAGAAGCTGCAAAAGGTTCCTGAGCTAGAACACTCATCCTTCTGCGAAGTGTCCTAACCAGTAAGCCAGTCTGTCTCCATTGTCGGAGTCTTTATCACATACTAAACTTGAGTCGTCCCCCTGTCAGCTCGACCATTCCATATATTCGTATAAATACCAGGGAAAACCTTTTCCACAACCTAATGATCCTGTTATCGTGACTGCTGTTGATACCACTGATCTCATTACACCTCCTTCAAACTCCCTTTCTCTGTTTCAATTTCCAATGATAAAAGACACCCTCCAATTTATTTATATTACTTTACAAAATATTCATCCCTTCCTACGAGTCTTTGCCCTGGACAGCACCCACTAAGCAGCTAAGTCTGTATTTGTGCTCAGTATGCAAAACACTTATTCTGGCCTCAACACTCACTTTCATTTTTTATATATATGAGATCACAATGGTTGAAGATAGATCGAGACTGCCGACTAAAATGTTTCTGTGTTAACGTCCATTCTTTCCTCAAAAGGCAGCTTGTTTTGGGAACTTTACTTTACAAGGAACCCTATGATTGCAACTTATTTAACGAGAATTTCCTCAAACTAACTCTAAAGGTTAAATTATCTGGTACAATTTCCAATAATGTGATCATTCTTTAGGTATCGTGGCTATCTGTACTCGCGTTCATCTATCCATTTGTATTCATTATACTCCCCCCAAACAGTTTTCCTAAACACCTTATTCTCACTGACTACTTTTCTTCCAGAGCCGTCACCTAGCTACTATATACATTCGCTCAGGTTTACTCCTGCCTCATGACGTCTCCTATTACTCAGATGTAAATTTTCGAAACTATATTGTATCGATTGACCTCAAATATCATAGTTGCTCTTCTTCAGAATTGACCCAATTTCAATCTACTTTGTGGAATATTACTGAATCTCTTTTGCCTCTTCTTTCTTCAACCTGTCTGTAATCAAATTCTTTAGAGGATGTTGTTATAGCTTCGGGAAATCTTTCTTATCTTGTTTCTCTCCGCATGTATGATCCAGTGGGTAGTGGTCATCTCTCCATACAGCTTCAACTACGAACAAGGGTAGCCTATGATAATCCCAACACAAATAGGATATTTTAAAACTACAGTAATGCCAATTGGCCTTCTTATGTGTTTCGTATTGAAAAATATATCACCAAAGCTGATCCGAATATTTCCTCTATTGATCATATTATTGCATTATTTCAAATGTTCTCTCCTCTACATACCTCATCTTAACACTGTACGCCACGTAGACCATCCTTACCTCGTCAAGCAGTAGACATCTTAACACTGTACATCACGTAGACTATCGGAGATAGCAAAAATACTGTTCAAATTTAGTAAAAACGGGTATCCATACGAACTGATGATAGAAGTGGTCTAGTTGGAGGAGGTACAGAATATGGTATGTCTGAATTTGAAGTGTCAGACACTGTTATAACAGAAGGAGGAATAGCGAATGATGCTCGAGATGTAACTTTGGCATAGGAGGGTATGATAGCAGCTACAGGAGAAACAGTAGCAGATGGTAAAGGATGATTAAATTCTGCTGTAGTAGTCAATAAAAGACGATTATTGGCTGACATGGATTTATGGGATTGATTGCTCGGTTGGAAATAGGGCTTAACATGGTATTTTGTAAAAGACAACTTCGCGCTGGAGAAGATAACAAACAACATCACCATTCTCGGTGAAGATCGGGATGATAAATGCTGGACCCTAGGAGTTTTGAATTCGAATGACCCATCGAACAATAATGATATTTGCCGATAATTTGGAAGGACTTATTTTTCCTTAACGGGTGGATGCACACCATGTATAACGCAGGAAAGTAGTGGAGTACTACGAGGCGAAGACTATTGCTATCGAGCAGATGGCCAAAGCTTTTAAATAATAGTGTTAACCCCCCCCCCCCAATGGCTGTGAAGATGAAGAGGTAGTAATCGCTGTGTTTGACTCTTCGCCAAGGAGAGTGATGACTGGAGGACGAGGAGTGCCAGCAGCATAGGAATGTGTAGAAACATTTATTGAATAGGAATGTTCAGAAACATTTATTGAATAGGAATGTGTAGAAACGTTTAGTGAATAGGAATGTGTAGAAACGTTTAGTGAATAGGAATGTGTAGAAACATTTAGTGAATAGGAATGTGTAGAAACGTTTATTGAATAGGATTGTTCAGAAACATTTAGTGAAAAGGAATATATATATATAGTGTATATAACCATTAAAATGTTTCAACGGCGAATGCCGGCCAAATATTGAAATATCCATAGGAATAAAGATTGTTATAAAAACTTGTTAACTTCAGATAATATTTTCCCACATTTCTCTTAATTTGACAAACAATTGCTGCTCGAAAACAGAGGTCTGCAGAAAATAACATTTCAGACCTAATTTTGTCACCTACAAGTCACTACTCCATAAGCTTTTCGTTCAGTGCCAGAACCCATCACTTGAGCTTGACTATGAGAGACAAAATATTTTACGAGTATTATATATAAAGTATAATGTTTTAAAAGTTACGGTTTTGACGCCAAAGGCTATAGAAATATTGGAAGACCAATAGACCTAAGAATGCTTATGAAAACAAGTTAACAGTAGATGTTTTGTTTAAACACAATAATGATTAAAACTGAACCACTGGATTCTATTAACGAATTTCTTACAATACAACGTATTAAATCCAGCAGAAGAATTCTTTCCTGAGGTCCTTATAAACCTTATTTTGTGGCACTGAAGATAAATTTAGTATGAAATTTGACTTTACTGGAATTAAAAGATTCTATTATTAAGTATCTGTAAATACCAATAGCTATTTTATGAGACTTAAGGAGTATCTCTTTTCCTTAGTGGAGGCTTCTTCCTTGTATTACATTTGTTTTCTCTTTACATGTATATCTAGTAGCCTCTAAATAGGAAGATACAGGTTATGTGGACTATGATAATAAGCAGATGTTGGTCTTAAAATATAAGATCCCTTGACATTTAAATATTACAGTCGGTGGTTTTATACAACTTTAAACAACTTAGAAGAAAATCCTATCTTCCTCATCAACCTAACTTAACCCCCACAGAAAAACATCTTTAAACTAGATGCGAATCAGTTCACTGTCTCCAAAGTTATACTGAATATTCTTAGTCTTAGGGAGTATTACACAGTCTGGAAAAAAAAATTGCCTGAATACTCTATTTAAACTTACCCTGTCAGAATATTTCATTCGACCTTAATAAAGAGTTTACTTTCTTTAACGCGGAGAAACTTTGTGTATTTTGTTGTAATGTGTCAAGACACGTTATGTGTCCTACGAAGACTGAAAATGCATTAACACCAAGGCACAAAAACCTAAATACATTTAACTTTAAGCTCGATTTATCTTACCCACATGTTCATAACTAAGTATCTTAATATAACAAAACTTGTATTAATATCTTTTATAATTATTTTGTAGTGCCTTTAGTGAGTTTGTGCATTGTAAATACGTCCACGTGTCCAACGACTGTGGTCCTGAAGCAGGAAGATTTCTCCGACGTCATATGGAACGGATATCCGGCCCACTGATTCACGAACACTGCGCCGCCTATACGCACAGATCTGAAGCTTGCGTCAGTAAAAGCTCCAAAAGGCACAATTTCGGAATAACCACTTCTATAAGTGTGATTTTTGTGTACTTAATTCTTATGGAACTCACTTAGAATCACAGTAGAAATCTTACTTTGAATTAAGTTTTGTGTTTTTCTGTAAAGCAGAGTTTAGAAAACGTGTTGAAAATGATTTTTATCATAAATAAATATAAAATATGTGTTTTATGCTATATATTTGTTGAAATATCTTTCTGGTATGAGCGAAAAAAATAGAAATGACGTATGTAAAGTCATTTTATAACGCTTTACGCTTCCCACTGAAAGCCTAACGATTCACACGATAATGATTGTTAAAGATGTATATACAGCACAACAAAAATTGAGGATGAAATTCTGCCGCTAGGAGTCTAAATATAGGCCTTAACATTTATTTTAGATTACATTAAACTTACGAGAAATAAATAAACAATTATGCTAAACACAATGGAATAGATGCAACGACATTGTATCATTAGCGTCTTCGCTTTAGAATTAACTTATTATTGTTGTTACGGTAACCATGCTCCACGAGGGTTGAATTTAATTAAACAAATCAATTGGTATCACGTTCAACTTAGGAAACTTGTAATGTTGAGTGGTTCGAGAAGTATTCATAAAGAGCAAAGGGAATCTAACGGAAACGAATTATATGTGATAAATATATTCGTGGAAAACAAACAAATTAATATGTTTAGTCCACCGACCAAGCCTACATACTTAAAAACAAATAATGATTGACTGAAATTAGATTCAATGACATCGGAATTTAATACACCCATTACTGATCAAAGCCGTTCAGTTAATTATGTTCAGATTAGTATTAAAGAGTAGTTAGTAAAATATATTATTTCTGTAACGATACATTCATTAAAAGTATTGTTTAATGCTTCAATCTCTATTTATTTTATTATGGATTGTTTAGTCGAACCCCATGATATATTATTAGGATTAAGACTGAAAATATTAAGTAGCAATGAGGATATCCAATTGTTTTGTTGAATTTCGCGTCCCTAATTTTGTAATGGTAAACTAGAATGAACGCAACTAGTAAACAATACCGACCGCCATCTCTTGGGCCACTCTTTGCTAATGAATAGTGGGGATAACCGTCATTTTATAACGCCCCCATGTCTGAAAGGGCGAGCATGTTCGAAGACAGGTTCCAATTGATGGAACAATTAACGCAGTCGAATCATAATAGATAACAACAGTATATCAAGTTACAAATATTGATTACTTGGTTGATTTTTAGGTGTAATCTATATAGGTAGGTTGCTTTAATCAAAGTTAATATCAAATAATACACAGTAAATAATGTTAACAACAGACTGTGTTTTTAAACAGATGTAAAGTGAATAAAAATTAACGTCGCAACAACTTAAAGTGAAAAGAAATGTGATACCTGTAAGGAACATAAAAACCGGTGACTCAGCGGTAAGTCAGTGGGCTTATAACGTTAGAAATCACTTTTAAACACTTCATTGATGTCACCGTTTTAGTTTTTGTTAACTTTATGAATATATTATATTTCGTTTTAAACAATTTAGAAATCACATACTGTTAGCTTTTATGAACTTTGATTGGCATATTACTTTTTGCTTGCTTGTTTATTGTATAGCACTGAGCTACAAAATAATCTATCTGTACTCTACTGCAGCCATCAAAACCCAAACTACACTGCAAACAAAAGTACATAATAAAAATTCATATCCGAACAGCTCACAAAAACACATAACAAGACATCATAAATTGCATAAAAAATATTAAAATGGTACCATAAATTACACAAAGCAAAACAAGTTGTGTCAAGTAAATAAATATTCAACACCCATATAATAGAAGATAATGTTACCCATAAAGTGCATAATAAGTAACAACATGGTGTGAATAAAGTGTATAGAAGTTAAGATAATGTCAGCTGAAAAATGCATAATAAGCAACAACATGGTGTGAATAAAGTGTATAGAAGTTAAGATAATGTCAGCTGAAAAATGCATAATAAGTAACAACATGGTGTGAATAAAGTGTATAGAAGTTAAGATAATGTCAGCTGAAAAATGCATAATAAGTAACAACATGGTGTGAATAAAGTGTATAGAAGTTAAGATAATGTCAACTGAAAAATGCGTAATAAGTAACAACATGGTGTGAGTAAATTGTATAAAAACAATTAACATGTCATCCGTAAATTGAATAATAAGTAACAACATGATTTGTGTAAATTGCATAAAAATGAATAACAACAGGAGATCAGTAAACTACATGAAAAACAACTAGTTAACATAAAAAAGTGTATTATAAGCAACATTGCGGCGTGAATAACGAACATGAAAACCATTAACATGTCACCCGTAAGGTCCCCCAGTGAAATAGCGGTAAGTATACAGGCTTACAATGCTAAAATTCGGGGTTTTATTCCTCGCAATGGACATAGCACATAACTTTGCTACAATAAACAAACAAATTCGTCACCATAAAATTCATAAAAATATTACAGGATGATATGAATAAAGTTTATAAAAAGAAACAAAACTGAAATCTGTAAAATGAATAACAAGTAACAACATGTTTGGGTTGAGTAAAGAACATAATAAACAGAACACAACGTGAGTAAAGTTAAAACATGTTACATGTAAGGTGCATAATAAGCAATATCAAGTTCCTTTAAATCTAATTATAAGTAAGGACACGGCATGAGTAAAGTATTCAACAACCAATATATAAGTTCCCTTCAACTGAATTATAACAACGACACGGTATGAGTAAAGTATTCATCAACCAATATATAAGTTCCCTTAAACTGAATTATAACAACGACACGGCATTAGTAAAATATTCAAGAACCAATATATAAGTTCCCTTAAACTGAATTATAAGTAACGACACGGTATGAGTAAAGTATTCATCAACCAATATATAAGTTCCCTTAAACTGAATTATAAGTAACGACACTGCATTAGTAAAGTATTCAACAACCAATAAATAAGTTCCCTTAAACTGAATTATAAGCAACGACACGGTATGAGTAAAATATTTAACAACCAATAAATAAGTTCCCATAAACTGAATTATAAGTAACGACAGGGTATGAGTAAAGTATTCAACAACCAATATATAAGTTCCCTTAAACTGAATTATAAGCAACGACACTGTATGAGTAAAGTATTCAACAACCAATATATAAGTTCCCTTAAACTGAATTATAAGTAACGACACTGCATTAGTAAAGTATTCAACAACCAATAAATAAGTTCCCTTAAACTGAATTATAAGTGACGACATGGTATGAGTAAAGTATTCAACAACCAATATATATAAGTTCCCTTAAACTGAATTATAAGTAACGATACGGTATGAGTAAGATATTCAACAACCAATATATAAGTTCCCTTAAACTGAATTATAAGTAACGACACGGTATGAGTAAGATATTTAACAACCAATAAATAAGTTCCCTTAAACCTAATTATAAGTAACGACACGGTATGAGTAAAATATTTAACAACCAATAAATAAGTTCCCTTAAACTGAATTATAAGTAACGACACGGTATGAGTAAGATATTTAACAACCAATAAATAAGTTCCCTTAAACTGAATTATAAGTAACGATAGGGTATGAGTAAAATATTTAACAACCAATAAATAAGTTCCCATAAACCTAATTATAAGTAACGACACGGTATGAGTAAGATATTTAACAACCAATAAATAAGTTCCCTTAAACCTAATTATGAGTAACGACACGGTATGAGTAAAGTATTCAACAACCAATATACATGTTCCCTTAAACTGAATTATAAGTAACGACACGGTATGAGTAAAGTATTCATCAACCAATATATAAGTTCCTTTAAACCTAATTATAAGTAACGACACGGCATGAGTAAAATATTTAACAGCCAATAAATAAGTTTTCTTAAAGTCAATTATAATAATCAGGATGATTTAAATAGAGCGCATAATACGCAAAAGTTGGTATAAATAAAATACATAAAAATTAACATATGATCCACAGTGTATTATCCATATCCGACCAATATATTCATCTAGCTGTTTACTCTGAAAGTTCTTGCGAGCTTTTTTTTGATCTTTTTCACTGATCGGATGTACCTGGTGTTTATGTTCTATTGGAAACACTCTATTTAAAGATCATCTCGGATTAACACCTTTCACAAAGATTTCCAACCATACTGGTCAGATTTCTATCTACCCAAGTTGTTTTTCGTGTTACAAAAATTCGGTATAAACAGTTGTGATGGAACAAGAGATTTTATGAAAACACTGAAAAACAAAATTGCTCTGGTTTCAGTTTCGTTCTTCAATCTTTTCACATACTTCAATGGATTTTGACGTATATCGCGAGACTTTTTTGTACTGCATTTTCCACGTGTTGGGTATTACAAACATACATAAAGTGGTAATTTTCGTACATTTCCCGAGTCCGAAGTACCACTTGCTAAACCTATTTTCAATACGAAGATGAAACATTTTGAAAGCTATATTTATGAAATTGTTTAATTTTTTTTTTACTAGCGAAAAGTATTCGTGTTTCATAAAGAATAACAATAAATTTTCAACTCTCAATAGTCATGTTTTTTTCTTATGCTTTCTGCTGCTAATTTTCTCTCAGGGGAAAATGAAACCTCTTGAATTTTCTCAAAATGTCGTTCGAGTTAAAAAGACTTTCGGGATTATATGAATAATATTTCTAAAGATTTCGAATATTCTTCCATAAGCTTAATGAAAAAGAATATTTTGCCTAAATATAACTAACTGGGTAATGTTACTAACTCTCAACAAAGATTATGTGTAGTGTAAACCACAGATATGAGTTTATTTTTAGTTAGACTTTGAATATACAGAAGAAAAAAATTACGAGTATTTATTTAGGTAAGTATAACAACTTATTTAAAATGGTATTATGTGTAGTTTATAATAGAAACTTGCACTGGGCTAGAAAATATTAATATAGTTTAAAATCTCTAAGTTATATTAATATACACGACAATTTCAAACCTAATCATTTCTAAGGAACATTTTGTCCACATCTCTATTGTACATGGTATAGGATGTGTTCTAAACTACGATTTGGTGCATGTAAATCAACTGTTCCGTGATATCATGCCTATATTA